GTTCCCGTGAGAATATCCAGGCACCAAAGGTCTCATGGGAATGGCTCAGCTAGGTACTGTGAACCCCCACGCACATTCCTGGTCTCTGAGCTTTGCAGACCCCAACAGGATCAAATCACCCATCATAAAAGCACTACTGCCCCCATGAGGAGCGTTTGTGATACCCCCAGATCTATACAAAGCTGTACAAGAACTTGCAGAATATTACCACACAGTTGCTTTTTGAAAAAGCACCTGTGAGGCAACCAAAGGTGCTTTTTCAGGAGGCAACTGGACTTTCTTGTTTTTCCTTTGAAGACATTTTGCTTCTCATCCAAGAAGCTTCTTCAGCTCTGACTGGATGAAGAGGAATGGAAGGATTTACATTCCTTACAGACAGCTGGTCATTTGCATCCTTTTAGAGGGTTGTTGAAGTACTTGGGAGGTTTATCTATGTCCTCAGAGTCTCCTGAGTAGTGCTCCTGGTTCCCGTGGTCTGCAATTGTTTCTCTCTCTGGAAATCCATTCCTATTCCCACAATCATTGAAAGGATGTTCATCCCAAATTGTATAGCTAAAAATCTGTAGAAATTTTCAGTCATCCAGATCATGGTTGTCCCAAAGGTGCTTTTTTCAGGAGGCAACTGGGCTTTCTTGTTTTTTCTTTCGAAGACGTTTGGCTTCTCATCCAAGAAGCTTCAGAAACAAGAAAGTCCAGTTGCCTCCTTGAAAAAACGCCTTCGGGAATATAAATCCTTCCATTCCCCGCTATCCCGTGAAAGCTGAAGAAACTTCTTGGATGAGAAGCGAAACGTCTTCAAAAGAAAAAAAAAAAAAACAAGGAAGTCCAGTTGCCTCCTGAAAAAGCACCTTTGGGACAACCGTGACTTGGATGACTGAGAATCTCCACAGACAGTAATAGCCATAGCTCCAGCCCGGGAAGATGGCCGTAAAGTGAATCAAGGAGAGTCGGCGCGGGTAGAAGAAAGAGAGCAGGCCCGCTTTTCCACACTCCCTCAGGACGGAGCCTTCGCTCGCTCTCTTCCCGCCTTTCGGCGACCCGGCTCTAACCCGGCGGAGCCGCGCCCACCGCCGCCCTGGGGAGTGGCAGGCAAACGGGTCTTGCTCCGGCTGCAAGCGGGGCGGAGAAGGCGGCGGTGATACGCTAAGGATGCGGGGAGAGACGGATGCCTCTGAGCTCCTGCAGAGCGCCTTTGGCTTTTCTCCGAGCGGGGTATGTAAGGTTCCCCCCCCCCTTTATTCAGGTCTGATTTAGCAGCGCGCAACAGATAACACAGGGAGATGTCCGATTTGTTCCCCGCATGTTCTTTTTTTTTTTTAAGCGCCTTTTCTTGCCTCCGGACTGACAGGTGAGTTTCCACTTCGTGCAAGGTTTCAAGGAGAAATTTATTCGATTTCTTTTTGCCGCCGCCCCCCCCCCCCCACTCAACCAAGTGACGCGGGGGGGTTGGATTCAGCTCGCGGGTTGAGGAGCGGAGTTTTGACACCCGCCTCCCCCACGCTTTGGGATTTGGAAGGAGAAGAGAGTCTGGCGGACGCTTACCGGGCGGTAACGGCGACATGCTGAGCAATCCGACGGGCGCCCGACAGATCCCAAACACAGAAGAAGCGACAACGACCCGGAGGGATCCGGTAACCGTTTTTCCAGTTGCTCTGACACGGCTCTCCTAGTACACCTAGGTGTAACTTGGCCGAGATATATGACAATCTCATGCCGCCATTGCCCTTGCTTTTTTTTTTAAAAAAAATGTTTTATTAATCACCCAGGCTGCCGTGTCTTTATCTTATCTGAGAACCTATTCGGTCCAATCCTATTTAGATTTTCAAAATTAACCAGGATCTGCTCAATGCTGCCCCTTAGCTGTGGCAGCCATGGTTTAAGAAAGACGGTAGCAGGGTTTGTTGAATAGAGTCAAAGTAATATTAGGGCTTGACTTTCTGTGAAACGCTTCTAGATACCATTTGGGAAAGAATTATGCTTTTTGTCTGATTTGCGCTATTTCAGATAAATGATGCAGGCCTTCAATATTTTTTTAAAAAAATACCATTTATATGTAGAAAATAACGCTGTGAAAGCGAGGCCAGGATCTTGTCCTTTGATATCTAATTTTTTAGGTGTCAAAAATTATTTTGCACAAATAATCATGAATCCAAATCATACTAGTTCTCATCTACAAATGGATTGCACTGCTTTCAGATACAAGTTGACAACCTGTTGGCCATAATTCCATTGCAACCTGTTGGCCATAATTCCATTGCATAATTCCATTGCAACTGTTGAGTGTACAGTGTGAATAATTTTGGTTAATAATGATGTCAGCTTTAGTATCACTCTGAAAAAATTCCCGTGTTTTTTATCCAAATAAGACTGTGTTTACACAACACTAGGTACTCAATTATAAACCATTCAAACCCATCATAGCCTAAATCCAGCTCAGTTTATTAGTTTACAATTTACTGTTGTGTAAACCCTTCAAAAATGTGGCTGAATAAACCATGAATTAGGTTAACGCCGCCACCACTACTACTACTACTACTACTACTACTACTACTACTACTACTACTACTAGTATTTGCAATCATAGATTTTAGCAAAATACATATAAAATTACAGTTCACACCAGTTCAATACATCTCTAATATTAACAGTATTAATTATGGGGGGGTATCCTTTAGTATTTTCCTTGGAGCCATTGCAAACAATGTTTCGTTTTGTGTTTGTCTACATCAGACAACAAAAATTAGATTTTTTTTTCTTCTGAACTAGATTGAATCAGTTGGATTAGCAAGGGTGTAACAAATCTAGTTCTTGAGTTCCTGATAAAGTTTGCAGTGTAATAAGTAGTGATATAAGTAGTAATAGTTTAGTAGGTCCATAGAACAGAGCTGCTGAGAATAGATGCAACATCTATCATATCGTAAGAGGAGACTAACATTTCACTTTTCCTTTTTTACTCCTTAACATTTACTTCAGTACCATACCTCTGTTTTTTCTCTCTTCTATGTGTTCTGGCCCAAAATCAGAGGGTTTATTTCACACAAATGCAATTAAAATATGGGGGAAATCCTACCAGAATTATACAAGTGTTTCCTTATAGATTATCCATGGTAAGTATTTTAAAAATATTTTAATTTATAGCCGACCTGCATTTTTTTGGAAAGCACTTTCATGTGCTTTTTAGCTGTGCATTTAGACTTTGCTTTCAGTGCAGGAATTGTAGTGTTTTTATTTTTAAAAAAGCTAGAGTTACACTATTTTCAGCACCTGGCTTGAAAAAAAAATATTTTGGCAAATGTTATCTTTTATAAACATAACATTAGAATCTAAACCATGATACGCTCTGTTTAAGGAGAATGAACACAGTTCACATTCTGGTGTAAGTTCAGGTAATTTTTATGGTGGTGGGAACCCTTTTTCTTTATCATTATAATAGTATTTTCCTGGCAAAAAATACAGTCAGACTTCCTGGTGCTAGATATTCTTCATGGAGACGACAAAGACAAACATTAAGGAGACTGGAACAAAGAGTTCACCTTCAGTAAATGAGATTTCTGGTTCAGAGTTGAAAAGGAAATGATGAGAATTAAACCAATCTTTTTTGACAAGAGAGATCTGGATATTGGAGAAATATTTATACTGAATTATTATTGTATTGTTTATATCTTACTCCATTAATTTCCTTCAGCCAAAGTTGCATTGCTTAACATATCAACACACACACACGCATAATGATTTAATGAACTCATCCTGCTAATTCTTTCCTTCCCGTTTCCTTTCTAACCTTAATATAGGTAGTTCTTGACTTACGAACACAATTGAGCCCAAAACCTATGTTGTTGTGAGATTTTTGCTGAGTGAGTTTTGTCACATTTTATGACCTTTCTTGCCAGAGTTGTTAAGTGAATCACTGCTGATGTTAACGTAGTAGTAGTAGTAATAATAATAATAATAATAATAATAATAATAATAATTTAAGCAGAATCTGACTTTGCTTGTCAGAAGGTTGCAAAAGATGATCACACGATCCTGGGACACTGTAACCATCACAAATATGAGTCAGTTGCCAAGTTTTGTATTGTGACCATGGGGATGCTGCAACAGTCACAAGTGTGAAAAAAGGTCATAAGTCACTTTTTTTCATTTTTTTTCAGTGTCTTTGTAACTGCAAACTTGAACACCAGACTATAAAGATGCCGCAACAGTCATAAATATAAAAAATTGTCATAAGTTATTTTCCCCTCAGTGCTATTGAATGGTCACTAAACAGACTTAAGTCGAGGACTAGCTGTATAAGCAAATCTTGAAAATGCAATCTGCACAGCCAAAGTTATAGCAACACTTTTTTAAATAGTAGTGATGATGCATTCATTCTTTTATTAGGAGAGGTCCGCTGTGCTGGAAAAAAATCGCCTGTTACCTAGATAACAAATACAAATCGCTAAACACAGTGTTAGCTAGAGTGGTAGTTATAATTGTTTGCTGCTGCAATTAACGCGTTTTCTTTGAGCTGGCATTGGATACATCTGGGAATTTCTTTGCTTTACACAATGAGGCACTGAAAATAATACACACTTTTTGTTAGCTTTCACAGTTATCTGCACATTACCTGTGCTCACATTTCCTCAAAATATTTCTTTTCTAAACTGTATTTGAGTTAGGAATTTAAATAAAAGTTCTAAAATATCAAGAATTTAATAAAAGTTCATTTGAGGAAAGAAACCTGGCCGTTGCTACCCTTTCCCTAGAAGTAGTCTTGTTTTGTTGATTTAAATTTGAATTTGAATTTGAATTTGCACAGGTGCCTTGAGCCTGCCTATTTTCAATAATATAATATTGCTGAAGATGTAGGACAATGGTGGCTAACCTTTTTGGGCTCCTGCGCCAAAAAATGTGCGCACATTTGTGTGCCAGCACCCAGAAGGCAATGCGCGCACCCCCATGCCCCCTGCGCATGCGCACGCAATCCCCCCAACCTGCACAGCACGGCCTCCCAGTGGCTTTAGGGAAGCTTCTGCAGGCTTTGCAGGCCGAAAAATGGGCCTATTTTGTCATTTCCGATATTTCCGGAAATACAGGAAGTGATGAAATGGGCCTTTTTTTCAGCCTGCGAAGACTTTCCTCAAGCCTCTGGGAGGCCAAAAATCAGCTGTGAGGCACGCACATGCGCAGTGAGGTAAGTTTGTCTTCGGCTAGGGTGCCCGCACAAATGGCTCTGCGTGCCACCTGGGGCACGCATGTCACAGGTTCACCATCACGCATGTAGGATGTGTTCCTATGAGAACAGAAGTTACAAATTTTCTCTATGCTTGGCTGTCTTAACATGTTTTAGCTGGTTATTGGGTTAACCATTTCTAGGTTGGAATATAGCAATAGCGCTTATTAGCAATATAACAATAGCTCTTAGACTTATATACAGCTTCATAGTGTTTTACAGTACTCTCTGAGTGGTATACAATGTCAGCATATTTCCCCCAACAATCTGGGTGCTCATTTTACCGACCTTGCAAGACTGAGTCAATGTTGAGACCATCAGGATCGAACTCCAGATTGTGGGCAGAGTTAGCCTGCAATTCTGCAGTCTTAACCACTGGGCCACCAGAGCTCTGGGGCAATATATTCAGTGAAAGGTAACCAAATAAGCTAGATTCCGACAGCAAACCTAGCCATGAAAATCTAGCCAAGATTAATACCAAACGCAGATTGTTGTATGAATGGACTTGCTGTATCCTTATATGATGTGGTTAAGTGCTTTTGTAGCAGTTGTTGTCTTGATGCCATCAAGTTATCCTTGCTGACTGCGAGCCAAGTCAGTGCAGCTTTCTTGACAAAGGTTTTTTTTGAAAGTTGCTTGCCATTGTCACATTCCTAGGGTTGTGAGAGAGAGAGTGGTCCAAAGTCATCTAGATGCCTTCGTGTCCAAGATCGGGTTCGAACTCCTCGTCCCCCAGTTTCTAGCCTGTTGTCTTAATAGCAATAGCACTTAGACTTATATACCGCTTCACAGTGCTTTACTCTCTAAGCGGTTTACAGTGTCAGCATATTGCCCCCAACAATCTGGAGCTCATTTTAATATTATAGTATACCAGACTAGCTGTCTGTAAGTGACTAATGCTATTTAGCGACTAATGCTAAAGAGCAATTTCTCAACTTACCACTAACATTTTAGAATGAAATAAAGTAGTTACAAAATTAAGAAAAGTAAGGCTGAGATATAAAGTTAACACTTTTTAGCCCATTCTTTGCATGCTCACATTTATTACTGTGCATCGTTTTCTTTCCAGCCTATAATCCAGTTGCAAATGAGATAGTTAATGTTTAATATTTTTCTAGTACTGTAGATAAGGGAGCCAGCATTGTCCGAAGTAATTTCCCTGGGCATGTGGCCAGCATAACTATATGCCAAGGCACACAGAACATTGTTACCTTCCCACTGAAGTGGTACCTATTTATCTACTTGCATTTGCATGCTTTCAAACTGACAAGAGCTGGAGCAAGTAATGAGAGATCACCCCATCATGTGGCGCTCAGGTCTCAAATCCCTGACTGTCAACTTTCCAGCTGATAAGCTCAGCATCTTTAACCACTGAGCCATCACATCCCTTATAGCAATTAGTCTTTGAATAAGAAAACAATGGTTTCAGTGGTCACAGAATAATTTAGTTCAGTCTTCCCTATTAAAATGCAAAATCAAATTGCCTCCCTGTACTTACTGGTAGTGGTACTGTACTTACTGATGTTGAAATAATCTCAAGTTGAGGCCTTTAAATGGGAAGTGAAAACACAATGCACCTGCTGTTCAGTGTGGTACTTGGCTTTCCCTCCGTTCCTCAAGATTGCTATTGCATCTCATGAAAACTGAGATCTCTGCCTTCTAGAAGCTTCCAGAAAGAAAAATAGATGAGACATTGAATGCCCAAATTATTGCTCAAAGAGTCACCGTTGGAATAACCGCTTCTTTCTGGTTCCTGTACATCACGCAGAGAAGTTCATATCAAAGAAAAATAGAATAAAATACAGTCGATAGAAAAATATAGGTCTTGTGTAGCATTAGGAAAAGCAAAACGTGGGAAAGAAGGAGTCCATAGTATGGAAAGTTAAGTTGTTTCATCTTGTGGAGCTTGTATGTGTAGGGAAAACAGTGGGTGGATCAGTCTGGAAATAACACCTTAGGATCAAAGGTTATGTGAAATATCAAGGTTTATTTGTCTTTAGTTCCACATATAAAACCTATTACTCATTTGCATGAGAAGCTGTAGATATGATAAGCTACAGAACGTTTTTAGATATGCTGTTTTGGTATCTGCTCATATTTCTCTACCCTAGCCATCTGTATACTGGAGACCAGGAAGAAAAAATGGGCACCAGAGTATGTGGCGGGAAAAAGCTGATTGTCTAATCATCTAAGACTCCACCATTGCCATGACTGGTCCGATTGCAGTGGTGCTTATAATTAATTAATTAATCTTTGCCAAAGTATATGCATTAAGGCATATATAACTTTCTGAAATTTGGAAATTCTGTTTTCTATGTTAAGATACTTTGCATTTTAAATTAATATTCTAGTTTTACTATTGTAATCATCTTAGTCTGTTTTGAAGTATTGCAATATAATATGTACTATTATTTTTTAAAAAAGTCTTCTCCTTTCAACCAAATTATTTATCTAAATTTCTGAGCGGTATAATAAATTTCCAAACACCACCTTAGCTCAATGGTTCTACCGTATCACAACACTGTAGACCATGGCTATCAAACTCACATTGTGATGACGGCATCAAATGATAGATCAGGACTTTTTTCCCCTTCGCAAAACCGGGGGTGGGCGTGGCCAGCGCATGACGCATCCAGCCCCTGGGCTGAAAGTTGGACAGCCTGCTTGAGACCTAATCTGATCATACTATATATAACGAACTTCCTGAAGTTTTTGAAGCTCATTTGCACAGGCCAGAGGTGAATGGTTAACAGAGAATGTATACTACAAATATTACAGGTAGTCTTTGACTTGCAACAGTTCCTTTAGTGACCATTCGAAGTTACAACAACATTGAAACAAGTGACTTAAGACCATTTTTCACACTTGTGACCATTGCAGTATCCCCAGGTCCATGTAGTTTACATTCAGTTACTTAACAACTGCCGTGATTCACTTAACAAATATGGCAAAAAAACAAGCAAACGTAAAATGGGGCAAAACTCACTTAAGAAATTTCTCACTTAGCAACATAAATTTTGGGCTCAGTTGTGATTGTAAGTTAAGGACTACCTATACACGAAAGGCTTGTCATAACTGAAAAGTTAATTTTATTTTGTAAATGGGCTATGGTTAATTTTGTTTCAGTTTTTCTTATATAATCTTCTAAATATCTGTAACCTAAGAAGTTAAGGGTTAATAGCAGTAATGCATTTAATATTAAGCAGTTTCTACAAAAACAACAACAACAACCCAGCAATAAACCAACCATTTATATCCTGTTTACCAGTATGGTCAGTTCCTACAAAAATAGCAGATGAAGTTCTTCCTCAATATTGTACTTGCACCTGTTCCTTATTTAACTTTTGAAGAAACGAATTTTTCTAAAATTTTAATTGTGTCTTAAGCAAGAAAGTATGTACTGGAATATAAGAACTTAGAGCTTCAAACTGTGAAGGAAGCAGCAAGCTTGTGGTTTCTAATTTTTGGCTTATTTTAATTTCTGTTTAACTGCGTGTCTTTATAATCAAGATGAAATTAATCCAGATTTCATTGGCTCATTGTGACATTGGCAGGCCCAGAATGTTCTTCAGAGGATTATAATTCACTTGTCAGACAAAATTTCTAAATTTCAAAGATTCAGACGCAAAAAAATATTTAAAGGATGTTTTAAAATATAGAAAGCCTGGAAAAAGCTGAATAACATTGTGAAAAGTGATTATTGGGAGAAATGCTTTTCTAAACTATTCTCAACCCTCAATGGTTGACAACCAGCTGTTTTGACTTTTACATTTTTTTGCATGTAGGAATTGGGAACAGGGCAATTTGGAGGCTTGGAAATATTTACTGAGCCATTTAAAGATTTTTAAAGCAACTGAACTATAATATACCAAAACCTTATGGAACAATTCATTGAAAGGTGGATTTGAAAAACATGAGAAAATCTGGTGGGCCAAGCTGGATTTTATTTACGAGCATTATTTGATAGATCATCCTATGAGGCAAAAGAAGAAAAGCAAAAAGAGAATAAGAAGAAAAGATAAATAAGACTTTAAAATGTGGACAATTGGGAAGATGTAAATTGGAAACTATAAAACTATAAAGTATAAATTCAGAACATTTAAGGACCAGAAAGCTGACTGTAAACCGCTTAGAGAGAGCTGTAAAACACTGTGAAGCAGCATATAAGTCTTAAGTTTATGTGGTGACAATCCCCCAGTCCTGACCTGTGTTTAGTAATTTTAATCATTCTCAATCATCCAGGTCATGGTTGTCCCAAAAGTGCTTTTTCAAGAGGCAACTGGCTTGCTAGTTTTTCTTGGAAGGTGTTTCGCTTTTCATCCAAGAAACGTCTTCAAAGAAAAACAAGAAAGTGCAGTTGCCTCTTGGAAAAAAAAAGCACCTTTGGGACAAATTTTGATCACGTGACTGTGGGAATGCTGCATCAGTGGTAAATCACTTTTTTTTTTACTGCAAGTGTAATTTTGAATGGACACTAAGTGAATGGTTGTAAATCGAGGGCCACCTGTACTTGAGAAGAAGGATTAAAACAGCCCCAGTTTCTCTGTAAATAGGAGAGTTTGTAATGCAGAAAGAACTGGAAACAAGCACCTGTGTGGGTCTGTTAAAGGAAAGAATCGAGCCAGGAAGAAGGCCCAGATGCTGGAAAGAGAAACTCCGACCACAAAACAAGCACCTTATCAGTACTGTAGTCTTCAGACAACAAGAGAAAACTTCAATTCTTGAAAAGCAGAGCTGGGGCTTTGGGGAAAGAAGGAGTCCAATTAGGATCTGGAAAGTACAAGCAGGCCTGAATACAAAACCCATTGCGCACAGCAGCCTAGATGCCGGGCTCTACAAGCTGACTCCAGGGACTGTGTTAGTGGGTAGGGAGGAAAGAGACCAGCTCTTTCACAAGTCTATAGCGAAAAGGGATTTCATGTCCAAATGGACTGAGTTGGCTACAAAGTTGGAGACTTGGGGTGGAAAAGTAAAGATTTAAAGGCGAAATAGTTAAAATAATGAAAATGTAATGTAAAAAATGAAAATGTAACCTAAAAATACATAAAAACAACATAGAGATATGTCTAGCTTAAAGAAGAGTAGAGAGAGAATAGTAGTAAAGTATTACTTATTTTATTTATTGTATGGCACATTCACATATTTCAGTGAAAAGGAACACAAGTAAAATGCAAAACACAGAATATAAAATCTGAAATCTTAACTGAAAGATTACAAATATACAAGTTGCAAATATAATTTTTTTTATTTCTGGCAGCCAGAAATATTAGCAAAATCTCTATTGTATAAAGCTACAGTAATGATAGCGGAATAAGATAGGAGTTTAGTTTTGCAAAATACAAGTTTTGCATGGGAGAAACAAGTCTTTTTTTGGTCTATACCATTCTAAGGAAAACCCTAATAATCAAGATTGACTCGTATCTCTTGCTTTTATAACTAACCCATCTCAGGTAGTGTTTCTTCGGAGAACTAAAAACTTGTTTTAAAAATGTGAAGGTCACCTTGAGTAAAAAGTAGTGGTGTAGCTGAGTGCACAGGACTAAGCACTGATGACAAATATTTGATGATAATTCTATTTGATGCAGTGGCAGTATTTTTGTGGCAACAAATTAAGCAAACCAAATGGTTTTTGTGCTTGGACATTGTAAATAGAGTTTGACTGCAGCCCAATATTTTTAAGCTGAGTCATAAAATTTTAAAGGGTAAGAATGTAGATCAGAATAGGAACAAAAAAGTGGATAATAATAGATACACTGATTCCACAGTAGTAAAATGCAACTGTCTGAGCCATATATGATGGGGACTAGCTCTTTCCACAGATAAAGGCTGCATTATTCCAGAATTAATGCTCATTTCTGCTGACTGCAGAGTCTGAATGAATGAATAAGTAAGGCTGCATCTATCCAAATGAATGGTTTCTTTCAATATTGGCTGCAAGGGTCTATAGGAGCTACATCAAAATGTATTTTAGTTGTTATAATTGTAAAGGCATAAATTAAATTTTAAATGAGATTTGAATGGATAATAATTAAAAGTTATAAAGGTGTTACACTCTAGTTAGTAATTGCAGGGGAAACCTTGCTTTTTAATGCCTGGAAGGGAGGGGAATTGTTTTTCTTTTCCTTCCAGGATGATGAAGAGAAAAGAAAATATGAAATTGTAAACAGGACAGACAAAAGTATAAATATAATGATGAGAAAGATACTGAAACTTAGAAAAAGATATATGATTGAATTTAGAAAAGAATGAGATAATTAAAAATAAGGTTGAGGAAAGTAAGGGAAGGGAAAAATTATTGAGAAAATGATAAAATAGTTATAAGATGTGGAACAGAATATAAAGACGAATATGTAATTGAGTTTATTTCTGTATGGAGAAGTGATAACCTGGAATCGTGCTGTTCTCAAAAAGGTATTTTATTTATATTATGTTTTGTGAAAACCCAAATAAAATGTTTACAAAAAAAAGTATTTTAGTTGAACGTGGGCTGTGCACTATCGTGCCACTTAATTCATAGGCGCAGTTGATCTTTATTATGGGAAGATTATGATTCAGTTCCAGATAATAGATTTGCAACAATGCAAATTGCAACAATCCTACCTTGACAACGAAAGAAATTACTTCTTGAGTCAGGCCACTGTCTATTTAATCCAGCACTCCTGCATTTGTTCCTAACTTTGGATATTTGGAAATCATACTGGTTCAGAATATGGACAATCTGTGGGACTACGCTGGCTGATAACCCTTGACCAATCTATTCTTCAAGAATATAAACATATGAAAAACTAATTGCAATAGAAATGAGATTACAGGTAGTCCTTCCGTTAGGAACACAATTGGGACCTTAGTTTCCTTCATATGCTGTTGCTGTTATGAATTGAGTCAGACCCAATTTTACAGCAATTCATTATGTGAATCATTCAGATTCCTCAAGGGGTATTTTTTTTTTGTCTGATATTGGAAGGATGCCTTTGAAGATTAACATGAGCTTGGGTGGGATTATACCTTCTTTCCCTGTCTAGTGGCCTCAGTCATCCTCACCCATATTTGTTCTCCCTTCTTTTTTTTCCCCAAATCATGATTCATCGTTGCCACATAGTTGGAAAAAGTGGGAGGGGGGGTGATGTTAATTGGGTCGCTCTTAGTAGACAAAATAGAATTCTTTTGATAGTTCAAGGTTAAAGAGCGTGGTACAGAAAGAATTGGAACTTACTTTGGGATTGGTTCGTGTGATGTGATGATGAGTAAAAAGGAGATGGTTTGTAGGTTGGGACATTGTGGGGAAGCTGGGGCTTTTAGTTTCAGAATTTATTTATGTATTTATTCGATTTGATTCGATTTGTTAATTGTTTACAAGATAATAAGTATAAGTGTATACATAGTTATGAATACATGAAATGGGTACATATAAGAAAAATAAAAGAAACAATAGGCCAGGGACGGTAGGCACATTGGTGCGCTTAAGCACGCCCCCTATTCCAGGTGCTATTCTAATAAAAGTACTTTTGAGATTATGCTTGTCTTGGAGTTACTAACAGGAATGGATGTTCCCTGGAACACTGACATTCTTTCCTTTTCTCCATCTGCATCCTGCCTCCATCTCTCTTTTTTGTGGTTTCTGCTAGAAAGAGGAAGGAGAATGGATGTGCTAGTATGAGAGAGCAGTTTATATAGAGCGTGTGCAAGCAGGAATCTCCATATATGCTGGTCAGAGATCCCTAGTTTTTATAAACAGAGAACTGTATTTTATAGGCTATCAATCTTCATTTATATTTGCAAACTCAAGATACTATTTTGTTCTGGTCTGCTCTTTTTTTCTGAGTTTATGTTATGGCAAGTGTATAATTTTTATATTCTTTTCATGCTAGGTATTTTAACTAAAAAGGTGTATTATCCACCAGGCAACTATAGGATATCTTCTCTTGTACTTCTAGGCTCCCTCTCACCTTTATTATTTAATTTTTGTTTAAATTGGAGAGGACCATCAAGCAAAGTGAAGTATTAGCTTTCAATGACACATTGTTGTCCAAGAATGTTCCTGAACCAAGAAGCATTCCAGGAAAGGGGAGGAGAGGGGAGGGGAGGAAAGGAAAGGAAAGGAGAGGCGAGGCGAGGACAGGACAGGACAGGACAGGACAGGAGGAGAGGGAAGGAATGGAGAGGGAAGGGAGACGGGAAAGGGAAGGAAAGAGGGATGGGAAAAGGAAAGGAAAAAGGACGGGGGTAGGGGAAAGGAAAGGAAGGAATATCTGCAGTTCAGAGCTCTGTTTAAAGGAAATATTATTTTTGTTTGTTTCTTTTGCGTAATGAGCGTTTCTCCCTCCTTGTATAGATGAGAAATTCTCTCATATTGTTCATCTTTTGTGAAATGAGTTTTTAAAAATTGTTTTAAGAAGGGATACGATTTGGTGGCATCTTGTTTTAATTCACACATATCCTAAACCTGCCCCTGTCAGGATTAATCTAAACCCAATGCACAAACCAACTTTTAATTACAGCTTCTTGAGCTCTTTCTTAAAAGTTTGAATCTTGTCCCTAAACCAAGCTCCTAAAGTTGTGTGTGTACTGTATATACATTCATTTATTTATTGGCTTCATATTTCATACACTCAGTAAAAATAACAGCCTGTTCCTTAAGTTGGGCTCTAGAGATTAGTTGGGACTGTTACACCAGTTTGCCTACTGTGTCTCAATCTGTCTGCCTGAGCTCCTCAACTCTGTCTCGGTAGAGTTCTTTGGGCTCGTGGTCCTGAAGAACTTCAGTTTGCCTTCCTTGGGCGTGGGGTCTAAGGTGGCTTAAAAGAGCCATTACAACAGCCATCGGCCTATCCCAGGTCATCCATCCTAAACTCGGGGAAGTGGTGACATGTCTCATTTGTTTTTACTGTCAAACCCTGGCAGTGTGATCTGGAATTAAGGGTAGCTCTCTATGGCTCCTTTGTCATGGCCAGATCAGGCTATGTCTCCATGGCACCGTTCCTGTTGTGGGGAGGCAGGCCCTATTACCCAGCAACTGATGAATCCAGTAGAGTTCCAGAAATTGCTAGGTTTTGTTCCTGATGGAAACTTCTCCATCCGTACTGCATGCCTTCAGTGGCCTTGTTTAGAATGATCCGCTGGGTAAGGAGGACTCAAGAGGTTTGTCTGCAAGGCCATGCTGAAGAATTTTCCCAGCATCTGTTGGACAAAATAGCTCAGAGATTTGTGCCCAGTTAAATGCCAGAATCCCGCGCAGATGCCTTGGCCACAGTCTTGCCTTTTTGTATGGGAATGGTTTGAACCTGTTGACTAGAAACTGGGAGATTGGTCCCGCCTTAGGTACAAAGCCAGCTGTGTGTGTCAGCTTTGGAAGCCATATTAGTACCAGAAGCTTCCACACTGCCACATTCTTGAGCCTGGGAAAGTGGGAGGCGGGAATTTCGTGAAGCGTAGGTGGTTAGACAAAATAGCAGTCTTCTTCTAAGTCGTTATGGTATTTCTGCACCTAACTGAGGAATAGTTATGGGGATGTCTCAAGTTGGGACGGATGGTGATTGGGGCATGTGATGCAATGAGGGGTACAGGGAGGTGGATTTGTAATTTTTTACTTATTGGAGGGAAACCTGGAACTTTCAGATTCAGGGTTTCCCAGAAGTGCCAGTTGACTACTCTAATAAAAGGAGACTTTGAGAACACGTCTGTCTCGGAGTTATTGATTGGAGTTGAGGTTTTCTGGAATGCTGACAGGGTGAACTTGGGCCAGTCACATTTTCTCAGCTCTAGGAAGAAGGCAAAGGCAAACCATTTCTGAAAAATCTTGACAAAAAAACGACTGCAGGCGCTGGTCAAGGTAATCAACAGGAGTCAAACCAACAAAAAACCCCAAACCTGATATATTCTATTGTGATCTTGTTTCTATTTATGTTTAATTGTCTTTAGTGGTTTATAAACAATATTTTAATTGTTGGCTTTATTACACACTGCCCAGAGTCACATTTGTAGATGGGTGGCAATATAAATTAGATGATAGAAAGATAGAGAGATATACATAGAGATTAGACAGATAGATACCTGTTTCTCATAAAATAAGGCTGGGATTTTTTTTTTGACCCCCCAAATATGGCTAGGCCGTCTTTTCAGATGTGACTTAAACTTTCCCCTCACACGCACCCTTGCCTAGAGCGGTCCGCGGGCAGCTACGCCTCACCACCAGGCTGCTCCTAATGGCCGATCATGCAGAGTGCAGAGAGCTCCTACCCCTGCCAAGTGCCTTTGCCGCAGACCCAGATATGGTGCTGGCTGCAGGCCAGATCAGTGGGTGGGCAGCGGTGTGGATGGTGGCGGGGCACTTTGCGTTGCAGGACCTTCGTTGGCTGCCGCTTTCCCTTCTGCCGTCGCCCCGGCTTATGCTGCGTTCAGAGTGCTGCCAGCAGCGGCTGGACACACCTGGCTGCTGCTGAGAACCACCTGCCCTTTAGCAGGGCCATCGCTTTGCTTGACGGCGGCTGCGTTGACAACGTCCTGAAAGTCGGTGAGTCATTTGGGCTTCGGTGGATGGAAGCGGCGGCAGGAGGGTGATGCTATCGTTTCTCTCTCCCCCATGCCCCACTTTGCTTCCCATCCCAGAGCTTCGGGTCACGGTCTTGTCGGAGTCTTTCCCTCCTGCCTGCATTCTTCAAGTGGACTCTCTTGGCTCATTCAGCTGTACAGTCGGGAGCTCTCCTCTTGCTCCAGCCACCTGAGTCCCCCGTGGACCTTTCCCCTCTCTTTAAGCTTGGTTTCTCGGTCAGTTCCTTAAGAATACAGACTGGCGGGGAGGAGGAAGCTGAATGAATGAGTCAGCAGGAGAATCCTCTGGGACAGGGGTTGCCAACCTTTTGGACCTCAGGGACCACTAAACTCATAATTTTAAATCCCGCGGACTGTTAATACGAATTTTGATTGACGGTAGCTTGCTGACTTTTCCCCAGGGTCTCTGCAGAAAGCAGCAGAGACCCTGGGAAAATCCCAAAAATAGTTTGCAGGAAAATTTCCCACCCCGTTTTCCTACGGATCGATCATTCTTTATTTGGGATCGCAGGATACTGTCTCCAGCTTGGTTCTTAGGGGAGAGAGACTTTTGGCTTCATGCAAGGAAAGCAGCAGAAGTCTTTCTTTCTCTCCCCCAAACTCCGCCAGGAATGAGTCTTTGCCGGTGCAGCCTCTTGGAGCAGGATGCCTTGCAGGGTCCAAAGACTCATTTCTGGTGCAGTTTGGGGGAGAGAAAGAAAGACTTTAGCTGCTTTCCTTGAGTGTAGCCAAAAGCAGAAGAAAGAAGCAGAAAGAATCGGCCTGGTGGCCAGGTCAGGTGCCTGGGGCGAGTGGGGCAAGTTCCTCCCCTCCACCATTTACCCCCTCCCCTCACTACCTCATGTTATTCGTAATGCAAGTGACTCAAGCCTTGTGTTCCCAGGGGCCATGTGGGGGCGCAGCCTTGTGTCCCTGCGCAGCCTGGATTAATTGCTTTGGGGGTGACATTTCTCTGCAGGCCATCAAAATTTTCTCACGGACCACCAGTGGTCCCTGGCCCACTAGTTGGTGACCACTGCTCTGGGAAGCTTAGCAGGGAAAGAAGAACGGAGAGAGGGAAGAGTGTCTTTGGGATTTGCCAGGAGAAATCCAGCAGGTGGATTTTCCATCCTATTTGTGTCCTTCAAGGCGATGAAGGTGTGTGTGTGTGTGGGGGTGACTTCTTCCATTTAGGGGAGCGCTAAGGGTGAATGAATGAATGAGCGAACCTTCCAATCCAAACAGAAGAGAAAGGGAATCACCCTAGGGACCCTTGGGTGGAAATAGGGCGGAAATCCACCTCCTGGATTTCTCCCGGGAAATCCCAAAGACACGCTTCCCTCTCTCCCTCCTCCTCTCCCTGCCAAGCTTCCCAGCGGATTCTCCTGCGGATTCATTCATTCAGCTTCCTCCTCCCCGCCAGCCTGTATTCTTGGGGAACCGACCGAGAAACCAAGCTTAAAGGCAGGGGAAAGGTCCACGCCCGGGGATTCGGGTGGCTGGAGCAAGAGGAGAGCGCCCGACCGTCCAGCTGAACGAGCCAAGAGAGGCCGCTTGAAGAATGCAGGCGGGAGAGACAGACGAGACGAAGCTCGGGGACGGGAAGCAAAGGGGGGTGGGGGGGTGGGTGGGAGAGAAACGACGGCATCGCCCTCCCGCCGCCGCTTCCATCCACTGAAGCCCGCATGACTCACCGACTTGCAAGACGTTGTCGACGCAGCCGCCGTCAAGCAAAGCGATGCCCCTGCTAAAGGGCAGGTGGTTCTCAGCAGCAGCAACAGCTGGGTGTGTCCAGCCGCTGCAGCATAAGCCGGGGCGAGGGCAGAAGGGAAAGCGGCGGCGGCGGCGGAGGAGGAAGTGGGCCGTCGACGAAGGTCCCGCGATGCAAAGTGCCCCGCCGCCATCCACGCCGCCCGCCCGCTGACCCGGCCTGCAGCCAGCACCCTAGCCGGGTCTGCGGCAACGGCGCTTGGGGGATGGGGGGGGTAGGGAGTTCTCCGCGCTCCACCGTGATCGGCCGTCAGGAGCGGCCTGGTGGCGAGGCGTGGCTGACTGCGGACCGCTCCTAATGGGAAGTTCCCCCCCCCCGCCCTTCCCCCAAATAGGTCCAAATGGGGGGGCGGGGGCTTAATTTCACTCATGCCAATAAAACAGTGCTGGGCCTTCCTAGGGGCGGGGGAGCGCATTGGAGAAAGACGATAGATAGAAACATATATGTATGTATTGGTGGGGCGGGGAGGGAGGGTAGGTAGATAGGTAGCTCTTTGCAAAGGCCCGTCTTCTTTTTTCAGAATTTAATTAATATCTTGTCTTGATGTTTTAGGTCTGAATTATTGCTGGAAACTGCTGTCATCATTCCGAATAATCATGGTTGCAGTCGTCAATTCATCCTTTTTGAATTTTGAAGATGGTCATATTGTCCTGCCTTCTGAAGGGAATGGAGCTTTGTTGTTTGTCATGGTGGGGAAAGTATTTATCAATTTGTTTCTATTGCAGGTCAGAAGACACAGTCATCATCAGAGTTTTATGAGCTATTTCTGCATTTCACTAGCTATCTTTGACTTGATACTTCTGGGGATGATGACTCTCATTTTCTGTAACCGGAATGTTTTGATTGGGGAGATTAGATTTACTGAGTATCACTTCTGTCTTTTGCCTCAGATTATGTCCTTTGTGTATGGAATTTTGCATTATCCAGTTTTTTTGATAGCTGGCTTGGATTATTGCCTTACAATAACCCACACTTCCAAATATCAGAACAAGTGTTGGAAATCACTGTACACAGTTGCTGTAATACTCACATGGATTTCTGCGCTTGGTTACATTCTGAATCTTCCAAGCAGTTCTTCGTGGCTGAATATAAATAATAATAATTATGGGCATCAATGTCCTTTCTACATTAGTAGCCAAACTTACTGGCTCTCACTTGGTATGTTGTCCATAATATGCCTGGTTCTTGCTTTCTGTTGGTCAGAAATTATAAATATAGTGCAGTCCACTAAGCTGATTTCTTTTGAGAGAGACGTCGTTCTGTTATTTCCTTATGAACTTGAGGGCAGCTCCAGAGATCATTCAAAACATCTCTTGACAAGACTTCTGATCAGCTTCATGGGGACTTGGATACCGTTCATTCTGCTCCAAATGCTTCTTGTGTTACTTAATGCAGAGATTCCTGCCCACATTGAGATGAATGTCCCCTGGCTTTGTTTTGTCAACAGCTTTCTCATTGGGATTGCATGTTGGGTGAGAACCCAAGACATTGTGCTTCCTGAAGATTCTTGGGACATAGATCCATTCGTCAGCTGGAAATATTGCTTTACACCTTTCAGCTTTCAAAACACTAATAAAGCTGTAAATCCAGACAGCGAAATTGTAATCTATTAATGAACTACCATAGGATTATATTAACTGGATTGCAATCAGCGGAGAAAGCTGCAAGTTAAGTTTACGAACTACAGGAAAAGAGGAACATCAAATGAGATATTGGTTGAACGTTTTCTCAAGTTCTGCTGTGTGTGTAGGAACATAGCAGTATAAAAGAGTACTATGTGTTTTCCAAGTTGAATTTCCAGCATGGGTTGTTATTTCAAAATAAAGTAATGGAGTCTCTACTATGTTGTTATTGATTGATGGACTGTGAACCATGTTGCTATAATAATTCAGTATTAACCAAGGATGTAACCCAACAAGTATCAAGTCCTTATTTGAGAATGATTACACATTCACATGCACATTTGTGGCCCACTGGAGGTCATTTTGCAGGGCTCTGGCAGTGCTGCTCCTGTCCCTCCTTGCACAAAGACAGAGGTAGCAGTCCTGATGCTGGGTTGTTGCCCTCCTACGGCCTTTTCCACGTCTCCTGATGTACTGGCCTGTCTCCTGGTAGCACCTCCATGCTCTGGACACTACGCTGACAGACACAGCAAATCTTCTTGCCACAGCTTGCATCGATGTGCCATCCTGGATGATCTGCACTACCTGAGCCACTTGTGTGGGTTGTAGACTCTGCCTCATGCTACCACTAGAGTGAAAGCACCGCTAGCATTCCAAAGTGACCAAACCATCAGCCAGAAAGCATAGGAACTGAGAAGTGGTCTGTGGTCACCACCTGCAGAACCATTCCTTTATTGGGGATGTCTTGCTAACTGCCTGTGCTTTCCACCTGTTGTCTATTCCATTTGTACAGCAGCATGTGAAATTGATTGTCAATCAGTGTTGCTACCTAAGTGGACAGTTTGATTTCACAGCAGTGTGATTGACTTGGAGTTACATTGTGTTAAGTGTTCCCTTTATTTTTTTCAGCAGTGTATAATTTAAATGAGTACCTTAGAATTGATTTAATTATTTTGAATTTATTAGCCACCCAACTACAATGTAGTTCTTCAAAGAGTAAAACTAAATGACAACAAACTTAAAAGACAGCAGCTTCTAATTAATTTTAAAAAAGCAGAACAGGAATCTTCTCTTGATATGTAAATGCATATCAGACATTAATCCATGTTTGCTGCTGCTTGCATTGCAAAAAGGCACACACTGGCTCCAGGAATCTTGGGAGTTGAAGTTCACAGGTCATAAAGTTGCCATAGTTGCCTGACTCTGCATCAGATAGACCCATGTTCTGAAATAGACCAGCTACCAATTCATAGACATTCCATAGCTGTGAGTTGTTAGACAACTTAATAGGTGGATAAACACGTTGTTCCTGTTCTGACCCAGGCTTTGTCAAACTTAATGAAACACAAAACTTATTTTAAAAGTAAAACCTATTTTAATGCAATGCTGGGAATTACTTGCATTCCCAGCCAAAAGTAATTATACACAGTTCTTCCAGATAAGAGCATGCTTTTCAGTGCTATAGAATGCTGCCAAAAAGCAGAAGTCCAATTAATTATCACATTGGCCAACCCAAAACTCCAGAAAAAAACCAACCAAAATACAGAGCTTCAAGACTCGGAAACTACAGAACTGCTTTGCTTCCTGCAAAGCTCTTGGTCATTGAGGACTGATTTTTATCCCTTATGGGAAGGGCAATCACCTCCCAGCCTTACTGCTAAGTTGCCCCCTCTGCTCCAGTTGCTCTCGCCTTCTAGCAGCTCTGCGCACATACACACTGGGAACAGGCTCCTCTGGGCCCTCTGCTTCGCTATTGCCAGACTCCAAAGGCTCCACTCCCACATGGTCCTGTCCCCATCCCTGCATCGGATGCAGGACCCTCGTTCAAGTCCTCTCTAGACTCCCTGACTGGTTCCCTTTCGTCCTCACTGTCCGATACCTCTGCCGTCTGCACCGGCTGCTGGTGAACCACAACAGTTCCAGGCATCCATCTACCCTCACTTAATTCAGCCCACCCATATTACAGGCAGTTATATTTGTTCTTCCCATTGACAAGTGACAATTGGTATGACGAGAAACTGAGCCAGAGGAATACTCCAAAGCCTTTTTCAAAAAACTTGTCTCATATTAAAACAGAAAGAGCAGCACCAGTCACTAATTTTTGGCCTCGTTACTATGGCAGAACGGATCTTGGTACTCAGAACCACAAATTATATGTATTTTCCTATCCTTAAGAGCTGATGGATAAAATTTAACCTTTATCTGCCTAAGACCATAGCAACAAATGGATATAAATAGTCCTGGATTAAAACCATTCATTTAGTAACCGTTTGAAGTTACAACAGTATTGAAAAAAAATAACATGATCATTTTTCATACTTACGACCACTGCGGCATCCCCATAGTCACGTGATCAAAATTTAGATGCTGGGTAACAGGTTCCTATTTATGAGGGCAGCACCGTCCTGGGGTCATTGATCCTCTTTTGAGACCTTCTGACAAGCAAAGTCAATGCGAAACCAGATTCATGTAACAACCCTGTTACTAATTGAACAATTACACTTAACAGCTGTGGCAAGAAAGCTCATACAAAGGGTTTGGACAAGATGACCTACAAGGTCCCTTCCAACTCTTGTTAATCTGTATACAATTGGGCAAGAATTAACAGTTTTACTTAGCAACAGAAATTTGGGGATCAAGTTTGGTCCTAAGTCTAGGACTACCTGTGTTTTGGTTTGAAGGATATTCTTTCCACCATCATTGTATATTACATGACTTAAACCATGCCCAGACAGCCATTGGCTTCACGTCTTATTTCATGCTGTAGATTTCCACGGCCTTCATTACTTTTTCCTGGGGCTTAGAGAGGTAGAATAGAGTAGAACAACAGAGTTGGAAGGGACCTTGGAGGTTTTCTAGTCCAACCCCCTGCCTAGACAGGAAACCCTACACCACTTCAGACAAATGGTTGTCCAACATCTTAAAAACTTCCAGTGTTGGAGCATTCATAACTCCTGAGGCAAGTTGTTCTACTTGTTAATTGTTCTAACTGTCAGGAAATGTCTCCTTAGTTATAGGTTGCTTCACTCCTTGATTAGTTTCCACCCATTGCTTCTTGTCCTGCCTTCAGGTGCTTTGGAGAATAGCTTGACTCCCTCTTCTTTGTGGCAGCCCCTGAGATATTGAACTGATATTATGTCTCCCCTAGTCCTTCTTTTCATTAGACTAGAGTAGGCACACCCAGTTCCTGCAACCATTCTTCATATGTTTTAGCCTCCAGTCCCCTAATCATCTTTGTTGCTCTTCTCTTCACTCTTTCTAGAGTCTCGACATCTTTTTTACATCGTGGCAACCAAAACAATGCAGTATTCCAAGTGAGGCCTTACCAAGGCATTATAAAGTGGTATTAACACTTCAGGTGATCTTGATTCTATCCCTCTGTTTATGCAGCCTAGAACTGTGTTGGTTCTTTTGGCAGCCGCTGCACACAGCTAGCTCATATTTAAATGGTTGTCCACTAGGACTCCGAGATCCCTCTTACAGTTACTATTATGAAGGTAGATGAAGGACGGAGAAGAAACTCCATCCAGAGGACCAAGGGGGATATTGGAAAATTGGTATTTTGGTCTGTTTTGTGGCCAGAGAAGGAAATCTCTCTCCCAAAGATTAAATAAAACAAATTCTCACCAATGGAAAATTGGCACCCACCACTACAGCAAAAATGTCTTCAGCTTCTCAAGCTCACAGTTGGGACAGGCTTGGAAATTCCCTCTGTCATAGAACAATGGCCTGCTTTCTTTTTGATTTTCCAAGAAGTACTAAGAAGCACAGAGGGCAGTGAATGGAGTTTCTGTATGAGATGTTTTAAGACAGTTGTTCTTTCCTTTGAGTGCATAGCAGATGTGAGAGGCGGTGCAATCCCAGGTAAAATATCCAGGTGCTTTAAAGTATAACAGAGATACTCTACCGCTATGCTTTACCTCATCCTTTGAGAAGTAAATGTGAAGTGCATCATAAAAGGAGAGGCCAGAATGCACCCCTTGCTTTTGTTTCAGTAGCCTCACATGTTTCAACAAAGCCCAGCAAAAAGCTAAAGCGACCTCACCTCTTCTTTTATTCTTGTGTTACTGTGACAACTTGGAAGAAAGAACACGCACACTATCATATTACCTAAGCTAACGTAAGTCTAGTTGGCAGAGAGATAAAATTCTTGCAAGATTTCTGTTTAGAATTAAAGGGGATTTTCTCCCGTTCAGGGAAGCTTATGAAAAACAGGTTTCTTCAACTGATATTCTGCCAGAGCAATCAGTTCTAAGATTCCTCCTGATTATCCTGGACAGGCTGGGATCAGATGGCTCAGTTTTTTAATTTAATATTTATTTATTTTATTTTTATTTGTCAAATGTTTACAAGACAATAGGTATAAGTAAAAAGATAGTTATGAATACATGGATACATATAAGAAAAATTTAAAAAAAATTATAAAAGAAACAATAGGACAGGGATGTTGCTTATGCACGCCCCCTACAGACCTCTTAGGAAAGGGGTGAGGTCAATAGTAGACAGTCTAAGGTTAAAGTTTTTGGGGTTTGGGGAAGAAACCACAGAGTCAGTGGTCAGAGTCCAGACATTGACCACTCTGTTGCTGAAGTCGTATTTCCTGCAATCAAGTTTGGTGCGATTAACGTTGAGTTTGTATCTATTGTTTGCTCTTGTGTTGTCATGGTTGAAGCTGAAGTATTCATTGACTGGTAGGACATTGCAGGGTATGATTTTATATGCAATGTATGATTTTATATACCATACTTAGATCGAACCGAAGGCGGTGTAGTTCTAGATTTTCTAGGTCTAGAATTTCGAGTCTGGTGGCGTAAGGTATTCTGCAATGAGTACAGGAGTGGAGAACTCTTGTGAAATATTTCTGGACTTTCTCAACTGTGCTAATATCAGATACGTAATGTGGGTTCCAGACTGCTGAGCTGTATTCGAGTATTGGTCTAGCAAATGTTTTGTATGCTCTAGTTATTAGTGTAATATTACCAGAGAAAAAGCTACGTAAGATTAGGTTAACAACTCTTAATGCCTTTTTGGCTATGTAGTTACAGTGGGCTCTAGCACTTAGGTCATTTGAGATGAGTACTCCAAGATCCTTGACAGAGTTTGGATCACCAACAAGGTCTTGACTATTCAGCCTGTATTTTATTTTCTGATTTTTTTTGCTAATATGTAGGACAGAGCATTTATTTGTTGAGATTTGAAGTTGCCATTTGTTTGACCA